ACAGGCCTCGTCCTAAGGTAAAATTTAAATTACAAGAAATTGACCTGTACAAAGATGATAAATTGAAAAACACCCTTTATGTCCCTTGTACTGTAAACAACAGAACAATTGATGCTGTGATAGATACTGCTGCACAAGTCACTGTTATGAATTGGGAACTTTATGAAACCCTCAAACCCAAGACAAAATTAAGTAAAGAAATAACTTTGATAGGGGCAGGTAAGCATAGCATCAAAGCCAAAATAGCAGAAAAGGTTAAGTTGAGAGTAGGGCCAATAGTACAAAGGTGGGATGTAGTGGTTGGGGAGATTGCAGACTCATTATTACTTGGTCTTGATTTTTTGAAAGCACACAACAGCATTATTAATATGCAAAACTTGACTCTTACATTGGATCAAACATCAGTACCAATCACTAAGATCAAAGCAGAGGGTTCTAAGAATGATGTTCAGGTATATAGAGTTTCAATACAGAAAAGAACAGTCATACCACCTCAAACAGTTCAAATTACACCGGTAAAAGTTGACAGATCATTCAAAGGTTCACTTTGTGTTGAGACAGAAAAAAACTTTTCTAAGGGTATTATGCCTCCCAATTCTGTGATTAATTCAGAACATACAAGCATTTCCTTTAGAAATCCAACAGATAGATTTGTCACTTTAAAAAAAGGTGAAAATATAGGTTTTGGAATGGAAATAGATGAAGTGGCTGGTATGGAAGATGACGAACAAATATCCGTCAATAAAATTGACATAGATCACTCCATTACTAAACCATCATCAGAAGATTTAAGATCTCAGTTACCACCTCACTTACAAGACCTATATGATAGATCAATTACTAACCTAAATGAGGAAGACCATTATGAAGTTTTCTCTTTGTTAAACAGATTTCAACATGTTTTTGCCAAAGATGATTTTGATTTAGGTCTTTTTAATGGGGAGATAACTCATAAAATTAACACTGGTGGAGCAAGACCAATCAAACAGAAGTTGCGTAGAACACCAATGGGGTTTGAAAATGAAGAGAAAAAGCACATAGAGCAAATGATTGAAAAAGGTATAATTCAACCCTCTAATTCAGAGTGGGCCTCTCCTCCTGTATTAGTGAGAAAGAAAGATGGGAAAATGAGATTTTGTATAGACTATAGGGCCCTTAACAAAGTTACAACAAAAGATGCTTTTCCCATACCAAATATACAAGATTGCATTGACACTTTAGGGGGAAATACTTTTTTCAGTTCACTAGATATGGCTTCAGGTTACTGGCAGGTACTAGTAGATGAACAAGACAGAAGCAAAACAGCATTTACAACTAAATATGGCTTGTATGAACATGTTAGATTACCCTTGGGTTTATGTAACAGCCCAGCCACTTTTAGTAGAGTTATCCAACAAGTCTTAAGGGGATTAACATGGCAAGAATGCTTAGCATATTTAGATGATGTTATCATTTTAGGTAGTGATATGCTGTCCCATACTAGAAATCTTACTGCAGTTATTTCCAGGTTTGAAAAATACAATCTGAAACTCAAACCCCAAAAGTGTGAATTATACCAACGAGAAATCAAATTTCTAGGAAAGCTAGTCAATCAAAATGGTGTTTCAGTCAACCCTGAAAGTATAGATATTATCAAGAAGTGGCCAGTCCCAAAAGATACAAAGCAATTAGAATCATTCTTGGGATTTGCAAACTACCACAGAAATCATGTTAAGGGTTTTGCTGAAATTTCTCACTCATTATACCAACTTGTAAAAACGTCAAAAAAGTCAAAATTTGAATGGTCAGAAGAACATCAAAATGCATTTGAAATGATCAAATAATGCATCATGCTCTGACATTAGCGTACCCAAATTCACAAGATACCTTCATTTTAGACACAGATGCATCAGATAATTCAATTGGTGCTGAATTATGTCAAATACAAAATGGTAAAGAACAAATTGTAAGTTTTGCTAGCAAGGTATTAACACCAGCCCAAAGAAAATATTGTACCACTCGAAAAGAACTCTTGGCAATTATTACATTTACAAGACAATTCAGACATTTTTTGTTGGGTAATACCTTTATTTTAAGAACTGGCCACAATAGTTTGATATGGCTCTTAAATTTCAAAAACATTGAAGGTCAACTAGCAAGATGGATTGAGGAATTATCACAATATAACATCATTTTACAACATAGACCAGGGAAAAACCATACTAACGCAGATGCCCTTTCCAGAATACCAGATAGTGTAGATCTTTGTAATGAATATAGACCTGGAATAGAATTGAGTCAATTACCTTGTGCTGGGTGCCATTTTTGCACTCGAGCAAAACAACAGTGGGCCTCTTTTGAGAATGATATAGATTATGTTACTCCTTTAACAATAAGATCAGTTGACAGTGTTGATAAAATTGCTTTTGGGTTGTCAGATATTTTTGACCGAGAAGAATTAAACAAAAATCAAAATGAAGATAGAGATATTAACAAGGTCAAGTCCTGGATAGAGTCTGGGATAAAACCATCTCAGAAAGAGTTATCATTAAGTAGTCCCAGTGTTAGATATCTTTGGTCAGTGAAATCTCAGTTACACCTAAAAGATGGTCTTCTTTATTACTTATGGGAAGATCATATTAACCCAAGATATTTGTTTGTAGCTCCAAAAAATATGCAACCTGAAATATTGAAACATTGTCGTGACTGCAAAACAGCAGGGCATTTAGGTCAAACAAAGACTTATGAAAAATTGAAACAATGTTCAATTTGGTATGGTATGTCACAAGATTCCAAACTTTATGTTGAAAATTGTAGTGTATGTAACAAAAATAAAAAGCCCAACATCAAAGCTAAGGCTGCTCTAGGTCAATATCATGCAGGTTATCCTCTTCATCGTGTACACATTGACATACTGGGACCTCTTCCTGTAACCAAAAATGGAAACAAATACATCTTGATGATCATTGATCAATTTACTAAATGGTTAGAAATTGTCCCAATATCAAACCAAAATTCTGAAACAGTAGCAAAAGCTGTGGTTGATAATTTTATATCTCGGTATGGTTGCCCTACAGAGTTACATTCTGACCAGGGTAAAAATGTTGATGGTGTACTTATGAAAAAATTGTGTCAGCTATTACAAATAGGTAAAACTAGGACAACACCCTACCATCCTCAGTCTAACGGTCAAGTTGAAAGATACAATCGTGTAGTACTACTGTAACAGAGTATTCGGTGTTATTTAAAAGACAAACAACATGAATGGGACCTCAATTTACAGCAAATTGCAGGTGCTATTAGCAGTCTAGACGAACTCCAAAAAAAATAAACGGAAACTCAGTTTACACGATGTAAACAAACTGTTTTGTTTTGAATAATGGCTGTATTTAGTAAATTGTGAATGGATTTCAGTTTTTGTTGAATAAATAATTGTACCCATTAAATTATTGAGTGGTTATTGGCTTATTTATCGCTCTGTATTCTTGCATAATAGTGATTTGGGATATACGTACAACAATAAAGTCGGTGAATTAATTTTTCTAACTTTATTCATTGTCCCGTTGATTTAAATTTGATGCCATTCCTACTATAAAGATGCTTAAATTTTATTTCTAAGACACTTAATTATAAATCGTATTTTTTTTAATAAAAAACCGCACAACTTTGGCGGCAGAGCAGAGATATTTAGATGTACGATGTGATAAGACTTTTTAACCGTAATTTAAAAGAATGATTTTTTAATCAAATTGCTTAAAATGTTTTCAGAAAATATTTGTATATAACAGTGATAACATTTCTTGAAAACTTTCTTCAAAAAAGCCTCGGAGGAAATGTGGAAACTGAATTGATTCTCATGTAACTGTCACCTGATCAACTCTTATTTATGATTAAAATCATCAAAGTACTTTTTTAATTACAATGTATGGTTGCTCATGTTGTAAACCTTCTAAAATTGATTCGTACACGATAGACATGAAAAACAGAGGAAAAACTGAAAATTCGCCAACGTTCCTTACTTAAAAAAAAAAACTTCTAAAATCAGGTTCTAAAATGAAAGTCACTACAAACAAATTTAAGATGTTTTCATAAGATTCGACTGTTTAATTTGTATTTTGAAGGGTGAACCCATATATCAAATTAAAAACTATTTGCACAGTAACAAATCGTTCCTAAAACCATTTATTATTTATTTTAAGTACTTACATTTTTGATAATTTTTTGCAAAAACAGAGACGACTTTTCACTGTGTTTTGATATACACCATGTTAACTCCGCACTGAAAATAAGTTTACACCAAACTGTTTTTAAAGATATAGATTTGATCATACATACAACCTGGCTGAATACTTACAAGATTTAAAAAGATTGCAAGAGAAAATATTTGTAAAGCCCAAAATTTTTCAATTTATCAGAGTGATGGGTCTTTACAAAAAGTCAAAGTTCAAAATTAGTCTCCTTGGAAGGGTCCATATATCATAACTGAGGTCAAATCTCCTGTTTTATTTTTAAAGATAATTGATAAGAAAAACAGAGAATGTAATATATCATCAGATGTTGTAAAGACCTTTTTGCAGGAATAGGGATCAGATTGATGGGTCTTTAAAGCAGACTAGTTGTCCTTCTCCAGCTACTTCTGATGCATCATCATAACCCCAGCACTGCTTCAAGTTCAAGTTCAGAAAAAGAACAGGTTAAAAGAGGTCAAAGGACAAGACAAAGACCCACTTATCTATCTGATTATGTACAGGATTAAATTAACAGAAGTGCATGTGATTTAATAACTAACATGTTTCACTGTTTTTATAATGTTTTATATATAGGTAAAAATGAAAGAAAAAAAAAATCAAAACAAAGAAACAAAATAATAGATAAATTAACATATTTAGTTATTTTAAAGGTGTATATTTATTTCATTTTACTATTTTATGCCTGTATAATAAAACATGTATATCAAAAACCTTTAAGCATCAGGAACATTAAAAGTATTACAAATTTATACATTAAAAGTAACTTGTATTTAATGTAAAATACAATTGTTTTAGAAATGTCAGAGTTAGGAGATCATTTTGTACCTGACTATGAGGAAGAACCTCTACCAAACCACGTGCAAGGTTCCACTTTAGGTAAAAAAGGGAAAAAGTGCCCTGTTTGTAATTCAAAATTTACACATGTCCGACGGCATGTTATTCAAGAACATATTCCTTGGTTTCTTTATCCAAAGACATCATGTTGGACATGTGAATTAGGTTTTGGCCAGGAAAGGTTTTTGAGGCTACATATAGAAAAAGAACATTTTGATGACTCCACATACTGTAGATATGATATTAACATTCATGGTCATATTTGGGTTGAAAAAATATCTACTTTAATCAACAGATTCAACAAAGTAAATGTGATATCGTTTATAAATTCAAATGAAAAGTTTTCTGCATGTTTAGGAACAATTTGGCAAGAGGATGACCTTGTTCAAATAAAATATTACTTAGAAACAACTCATCAACACCAGTCATTACCAAAGTCTCCTTATCCTGCTCAAAACTTTACAAGTTTGTTTCACTGGAAAATACTTAGTATTCTGTTGGATATAAGCAGCCCTCCTGCTGAGGTTCTACAAAATTGTGAACTTACAAAAGAGAAAGACATACTCATAATAGGATCCTCAATTATTCATTGGGCTCATCAAAGATCTATTGACACCTACTCTACTGACTTAGGTTTACAAAATTGCAACATTAAGTGGCATGGAATAAGAGGCATGAGATGGTCTTCGCTTACAGAAACACTTCACTCTGCTACGAAAGATATTATTCCAAACATTATCATAATTCATTTAGGATCTAATAACATCTCCTTTTCAAGTCCTTTTTCTCTCATTACCAAAATGAAAAATGACATTTCTTCATACATGGAGAATTTTCCAGATACAATTTTTATTTATTCGGAATTATTGTCAAGAAGAGTCTGGGGCAAAATCGCAGTCTGGGAGGGAGAAAACAAGAAAATGATAATCAATAGAGAATTAGGATCATTTATGGAAAGAAGGGGAGGGAAAGTGATATTCCATCATGAAATTCATTGGAAAAACAGAACACTTTTTAGAAGAGATGGGGTACATTTGACAGAAATTGGAAATGACATTTTACTATCAGACTTCAAGGATGCTTTAAGAATGTTATGTTGATTTTATAGTGTCATTACTTTTAAATTTGTATATATTTGTACAGTGTACTGCTTTTATACTTAAATGGCATTAAGTCGGATGTTCTGATTTGTGCCATATCCCGGGGCTTATTAAAACGGGGAGGAATGTAGTGATAAAGGTTTTATAAAATAGTTCGGGTTCGGGATACATATATTTGATACGTCACAATCAGCTGATTTACCACCATATTAAGCCAGTTGTGATTATACCCTGGATTGACACAGACGTCTGACGACACTGTCCGGTCCGAGGTCCACAGCTCAGGTGGGTTGTAACTTATTGTTACCCCTCACCATTTTCACGATTTCTACTAACTACATAGATTGTATTTCCTTGTACTAACGCACTTCACAACAATACTTCAAAACGCAGAATATAAAGACATGTTTCAGATTCTTCTACTATCTAATTATGAATCTACATGCAAAAAAATGATAGTTACTTGATTAGATTTACATCAACAGACTAACGAAGAGTGTTACTTTTCTATTAAACATTTTTCTTTGATCCACTTTCATGAATACACTGTACGATTTATGGATCTATTTTCTGGATTCTTGAGTCTCTCGTAACACCACCCACTCACGTACAGCATCAATGGTCTGTACTGTTATAATGCATTCTCACAATCTGAAAAAGTGATAAAATTAAAATGTAACAATACAAGTTGAGCTTGAGCAATGACGATGGATGCAAAGCATGTTTATTGAAATCAATTGAATTCCAAGAAATCTCAATGGTTTATCATTTTATTTTAAAAAGTTAAAAAAGTTAAGGTTTTTTTACTAAATGTATTGTTTACATGTTTTTCTTGTCTAATTCAATATCAGCTCATCCAATTCTGTTTCTGTTTCTTTCCGAGTTTGGCTTCAAAGTGCCGAATTTTATTCTATAAACAGAAATATACAACACAAAGTTGAGACCGTATTGATCTTAGATATTCTTTAAATTCAAAAAATTGCAATTAAAAGGTCAACTGGTTTTATAAGTTTTGTCAAAACTCTAAATTATGTTTTTTTTTTATTTCTTTCCAACCGCCCCCCCCCCAAGATGAAATGGAGTATAGATATTCATTTCATAAATTTATGTGCTTTAAATCTATTGATGCATATCACATGAACCTAGTTGACCTAAATTAGTTCAATGGAACCGGAGAAAATATTAGTGAATATGAATTTTCTTTTATTAGTAAACACTGTATAACATTAGCAAAAAGTTATTTTTTTTAATTAATTACTTTTCTGTGGTATATATACAATTCATTTACCACTAGTACACTACATAATACACTTGTCTGTTGCACAATACTTTTAAGGTAACCCCCTTTCCTAAACTAAAATTTATTAAGTACAGAGTTAACACCCTGCCCCTTAAGCTTTTTTTCATTTTTGTACGAACGCCGTAACAAAGGTCATTCCATTTTAAAAAAATATTTCATATACTTGAGGTTTTCATAAACTCCTAATTTTTCATGTAAAAAGCAGGTATTATCTTAAATGGTAAATAAAGATATCTACTATAAAAAAAATATATTTACCCGACTATCAGTTATAATCATTATAGCTCTTGACAGTGGTGAGTGACTTTGGTTACATGGATACCGTGAATACAACAAATTAGAATTAAACAAAATTTAAATTAAACTTTATAATTTGGGATACAGTTATATGACTGATCATGACCAACTTTTTCACGTTAGGCCCGTAGATACAATCAAAGTCGGGGGGATTTAATTTCATTTGTTCATATGATAGTTAAATATCGGCTATATTGTTTTGTTTTTTTTTGGGGGGGGGGCATACACCCCTCCTCCTGGTTACTCAGGCCATGCAAATTTTTTTTCTTTCTTTCTTTTTTTTTTTTTTTATAAAATACTAAAGTAATGCTAACATAATTAATCCATCAAAATTAAATTAAAATGTGCAAAAACACTTGCCAAGTGTTAGATATTTTACTGCATGGTTAATTTATGCTATACATTCTTCAGTAACTGTTGTAATGGTAAAAATTTCAATCACTCACCTCCAATAAGACTCATGAAAACGCCAAAACTGAGGATCAGACTGCTCCGGTTTTGAAAGAACTATATGCGGTATATTGCATATGTTTGCCCCCACAAAAGTCAAATTTTGAAAACTTCCTGAAATGTGCTGAATTCAATAAATTGTACGAGAAATATAAGTTAACAGAAAATATTATAGTTCCAGAGCAGTGTATTCACAATTTCTGTTTTTATAACGTCACAAACTAGTCCGATTTTCTATCCTTTTTCAGAAAGAGGACAAAATGGACAAAATTTCAACAATTTAAGCTTTAGAATTTATAGAGCGCATGTGTGTTCAGGAACAATATTTACATATTTCATTGATATTATCATTCTACACATTATATCAAAATATTAATCCTGAACACACATGCGCTCGGTGACTTTCATTTAAAATATCGACGAAATATGTACATTTTTCAGCAAAATTCATAAAAAACTGAAATTTACGTCATATTTGTGACGTCATTACGTACATATGACGTCATTACTTATGAAAATTTTCAGTGCTTTGAAGTCAGCATATACTCCTCTGTTTAATGACTTAATTAAATATTACTCCATCAAAGTTTGATTTTGGGGGGCAAATGTTGGTTAATACCGCATATAGTTCTTTTCTGCTAGTCTTCTGTACATTGTTATTGAAAACAATGTAAGCAAACTACCGTTTATTCCTCCTATGTTAGAGAGCTACACCACAGGCAGGTAATTTGAAGCAAAAGTTACAGAAAATTATGGATTTAAATCAGTTATCATATGTAAATGCTTTAGTTGCCTGCAGATTTTTTTCTTGATTCTTCTAGAAGAAATACTGTTTAATAAATATTTTATGTTGATAAGATTAAATGTGGTTGTAGATTTCTCATAAACTACTTCAAATTTGCTGTTTTTTAAAGCAAAATGAACCTCCAAAAACTAGTTATATTTATCAAAAGGTGAAGAGAATTTCAAAAATCAACATTTGCTAAAATAGAATATATTTATATGAATAAAATAATAATTTAAAAAGCTTTTTTCAATGACTAGTAATAAAAAACTATTTGTTTAACCATAAATTCAAGTGTCATGATAAAGTACAAAACACACTTTCTGAAAGGCGCGTGGTTTCCATAGCAACAATGCAAAAAATTATTTTTTGCTTGTTTTTTTTTCTATCATACCCTTTGTTCTGATAAGTCCACCGCCTATCAGACCATCCTTTCGCCTGACCATCGGACTTTGGCGTCCATAAAGACAACGATCCATACAGGTTTGGCGCAGACCATCGCATTCAGAGTCTTACATATATATAGATATTATAAAACTCTTGATATATTTTTTTTATTCTTTTTTCACTAAGATCCAAATTGCATCAAGATCAATAAACAGAATAGATGTTATCTAGCTGACCCAGCTTGTCCTACTCAAAGCAGGTAATAAGTAGATAGATCGAAAATCGACCTTCCTATATACATAAATACATAATTACATCCGTTTATCAGTAGAAAATGGTACATTTGATGAAAACTATTTTCTTCCTAAGATTACTATCTAAAGTTCTGGACCACAATTATTTCTGCTGCAGACAATGTGACAATCTAAAGGTTTACTTTATTGCAAATCAGTTATTTTTACTCAATTTATAAATCAATAAATTCCAACTTGACATTTTCTACACAAAAGGAATATTTTTTAGTGATTTCGATGCAACGACTTTCTCTGCAACAGTCAACAGGACGGTCGTTACATATTCAGGATATACTTTTAGTGGTAAAGACTGGATAATATGTGTACTAGTCATTTTACTGCTCTGCTTTGTTTTTGCCTGGAAACGGAAACGTCTTCATTTCTTAACCAAGGGTCAGTTTTTCATGTTGTTCTAAATTCACTAAATTTAATGACATAGACGGTCCTTCATATTGAAAAAAGAGAATAAATAGATAGATGTTAAAAAAGTTCGTGTCTCAATAATTGTTTCAAATTAAAATTTTACATCTAATTTTTTAATCTAAAATTACCAAGAGGGAAAGAATTAGTCATTAATGTATATTGTATATATACATAGATTGCAACCTTTTGTAGAATTCAGATGTAAAGGTTTGACTGATTGCATGAGCACACTTGAATCAGAAGAACCAGAATCAGAGATGAAACCTTTATTACAGACTAATGTAAATGACCAGCAGAATGGAAAAGGTTAGTCGTTGAAATATCTGAAATTAACAACAGAGACTTATTAGTTGGATAGCGTATTGCGTAAACAAGTTTACTTACATTTGATAAAATGCAAATGTTTATCAAGGAGTGTATTCCAAAATAGATGACAAATGAAAGCAACTTTTTTTTTTAAACTAAAAGAATTGAAAATTAATTGAGTTCCCTAAAACGTTCGTTTTTCAATAATTGTTTTAATTGATCAGTTTATATAAAATGGCATAAATGCAATAAAAAAAATCTTTATCAGCAATTATAAGCAAATAAATAAAATTTGCATTTATTACAACTAAAATAGTAGTCGGACAAGTTCGTTATAATTAGGAACTCATATATTAAAGACCTTAATAACTTTGGCGCTCTGTGCAAAATTCGGTACTGCGTGATGTCAAGTTTACCTGTCAATAACATTTCATGTAATTCTAAAACTTGTGTAACAACACAATTTTTCAAAGAAGAGTTTGATTTCAAGAATGGTTTTCATTTGTGATGACAGATAAAGAAGAGTTTAAGCTTTAAAATCGTATCAACATGAGAAATGATCTACGGTTTGGGTGACGTTAAATAAGGTACGTGTTGCAGTGTTTCCTCGTGTCAATAAACATAAATATACCCAAACCGTAGATCATTTCTCATGTTGATACGATTTTAAAGCTTTTTAATAATATAAATAGACTTTTAAAATAGATATTTTAATCAACCTGTATATATAAAGCCAAGTCCAGGAACGTAGCATCCCGGGGATGTTAAATGTTAAAATAATAATAGTAATGGTCATACAATTGATTGCGCCCATGGGAAAAGGGCCTTTTTTAGCAATTTTTTTGCATTTTGAGTTTTTCACGGATTTTGATAGAGTAAGGTTGAACGTTGTCAAATATGATTTGTGTGTGTGTGTGGGGGGGGGGGGTCCTACGTCTACTCTAAGTAAGTTTTTCCTCTTTTTCATCAAAGATAATCTAACAAGTTCATAATGGCGTCATGTTTTTC